TTGTTGCTCTCTGCATTCGACGGCATCGCTGCCATTTTGCTATCTGGTTCCTACTTCAATCGAGATACCGCGAGAGCGTCCCGCTTCGCCTCGTGACGTTTACGCACGCCGCGTTTTTTTTTTTTTTTCCGGCATACGCACGCATCCATGGAATAGATACGTACTGCGCATGCACACTTCTCTCCCTTAGCCACGCGGCGTATGCATCGAGCCTACGTACGCGGCACGATACGTTGCGTACGCTGCATGCGAAGCGCTCAACGGCATCTTTAGTTCACCGTATTGACCGTACCGAGATACGTTTGGTGCAACTAGACATATGTTATTAGAAATAAAACAGCGAAAGGCCCAGGCAGTGGCGTACCAACTCTTTTGCGATTTACACTTGTCCGCCAGTATATATATATATATATATATATATATATATATATATATATATATATATATATATATATATATATATATATATATATATATATATATATATATATATATATATATATATATATATATATATATATATATATATATTCACCCTCTTTGCTTTCTTCACAATTACAATACAATACAGTCTAATAACTTTCTCTTAGATCTCATTATTATTATGTCAAACACGAAAAAAACAGCCCTTAGGTATGCACTTCTTTCCCTTATTCATTAACGAGGGTCTCGTACTGGCAGACTTGGTGCATTAGGTTGTATACGAGGAACTATTGGTCAGCTTCCAGCTCGTAATAAGTTCACCTGCTACGTGACGCCAAACAGGGTAATAAAGAGTGCCCCGCCGCGGTGGTCTAGTGGCTAAGGTACTCGGCTACAGACCCGCAGGTCGCGGGTTCGAACCCCGGCTGCGGCGGCAGCATTTCCGATGGAGGCGGAAATATTGTAGGCCCATGTGCTCAGATTTGGGTGCACGTTAAAGAACCCCAGGTGGTCGAAATTTCCGGAGCCCTCCACTACGGCGTCTCTCATAATCATATGGTGGTTTTGGGACGTTAAACCCCACATATCTATCTATCCCTTCATAAAGAGTGCACCACACTCGCCGCCATGGCTGCTGGCGCCGCTGACTGACACTCCCACGTTTAAATTCACATAAATACTAAATAAAGTCGCTGGGGGTATAGCCGCCGTGGTAGCTCAGTGTTAGAGCATCGAAAGTGTCATACGAAGGTCGGAGGTTCGGTTCCTGCCCACGGCAAGTCATCTTTTCCACCACTTTTCTTTATTCACATGTACATTACAATTGGATCTCGTAGCTTCCCCTATACTTTCCTTGGCAGTATTGTATGTTAGATCCTATTATTATTGTGTCAAACACGGAAAAACGAGCCCTTAAGTATACACTTCTTTGTCTCTCTCTCCCTCTCTCTGTCAATATATATATATATATATATATATATATATATATATATATATATATATATATATATATATATATATATATATATAATTAGGAGACAGAAAACTTCGTCGACGTGCTCGCACTTTCATGTCGTCATACACACAGCATTTGTTCAATAGCATAAATGTTATAACATTACACGCGACGATTTTTATGTTTTACCTCACAACTTTCCGCATGGCTACAATTATGTTGATGGCAGCCTTTTCAACAGTAAATATCTTAACATTGAATGAAATTTTAATGAAGAATTTTTAGCACTTCTATCTACTTATTTCTAGCTTCTCACTGAGCTTCAGTCCACTGCTTTATTCGTCGCCACTTTGCAAGCTGCCTCCATCGCTCCAAATTGCCATAAGCAAGGCTGATCAGATTTATCGGAGGTTAACTGAGTGGAAACTTTTCTTGGCGCTAATAATACGGCAAAATTAATATATTCAGAAAGATTAGTCGCAGTCATGTGCTCACAGCAGCTTCGACAGAGCAGCGGTGATGGTAATCTTTTTAGATGAAAGAAAATGATTTTGCCGAAGCATCAAATGCTTTGACCGGTCCATAAAGAGTGTGTTCGTTCCCATCTATCACTGCATCGGTCAGTTGCAGTAGAATAAAAACATGAACAAGTGATTTAAACATTAGGTCACTTGCTCAGCGCTAGTCTGCTCTGCAGTGCTACTGCACAGGGCGGAAACTATCGCAAAAAGCATTCAAGGAAAATTGTCACTGCTGAAACGTAGGAAAATTATAACTACAATGTACCTTTGCCTTGTAATGCTTTTTTTTCTCGTAAAAATATTAGAGTGATTACTAGTCATGAAGGAAAATTTTGCCTTAGTTGTTTTTCGCAGCGTGCAGCCGACTGTGACCACTAGCTGTCGAAAGTGGGGGGGGGGGGTGGGGGGGGGGGGACTTGAGCCCCCGGCTGATACGCCTATGGGTCCAGGCGCTCGCGCACACAGAGCGCAGTAACTGTTTTTTTTTTTTTTTTTCAGGCCTTTCTTGAGGCGCCAAGCAATCTCTTCCCACTGCTCCCGACGTCTAAACGCGTCGCTGGTTTGTACTTCCGCTAGCAGCGCAACACCGTCCCTCAAAGTAAAATATACTCTGTTTGGGCCGGCTTTGTTGCTCTCTGCGTTCGACGCCATCGCTGCCGTTTTGCTATCTGGTTCCTGTATCAATCGAGATATCGCGGGAGCGTCAGGCCGCGTACGCTTCACCTCGTCACGTTTACGCAAGCCATGTTTCTTTTTGTTTGTTTGTTTTTCGGGCGTACGCACGCATCCCTAGAATCGATCCGTTACGTACTGCACATGCCCAGTTCTCTCCCGTGGCAATGCTGCGTACGTAGGCTCGTTAGGTACGCCCAACTAAAAGTGAGTGAGTGAACAACTTTATTCACTTCCTGCAGGTTACCGGGCTGGGTTCCCACCTAGGAGCTGGTTGAGAGACCATGTCTCTCAGCAGCCTCTTTCGCCTGCTGGATCGCCCAGAGTTAAAGGTAAAGTGTCTAGTGTCTACTACCCCGCCGCGTGTTAGACCTGCCGTCGAATGCTCAAGCATAGAGCAAACACACCGCCCGTCTTAAACGAGCATGAAAAAATACGCGGAGGAGGGGGGGTCACTAGAGCAGCAGCGGTGAACTCTGATTCTAGGGGCGTGGTTAGGATAATCTGGTGCGCTCGCTATCGGCAAGCATCAGCCGTTCTACGTGGTGCGCTCTCTGCTGAAAGAGATTGTGCGATAAGAGCATTTCTCCCTGGAGCGGCCGTATGCACTTTCTTACACTAGCGTTTTGCAGAGTGTCGCGATGTCGGATTCAAAGGCGTTAGCTTTCAGCCTTCGTATTATCACGGGGTCATGAGGTTGACGAAGGCAGCAGCCGCTGTTTTCATGAGTGAACCTTACTTGGGCGACCCTGTGTCCGGAAAACAAAACGTCACTCTAGAAGTAATACTAGCTGTAGACTGATAGCTGCAAACCAGAGCGTCGGTCATCGATGATCTGCCAAGCAGCAAAGTGCGTTGGCATTTACACATGTGCAATCGAAGATTCCCGCGTTATCGCTAGCGGCTGCGTAAATTCCAAAACAAACTCTAATGTACGCGTTGTGTGCTTAATCTCATCGGAAGGTTCTAAGATTATCGAGATTGTTCCCAGTCATTCGGGAGCGGATTGCGCAAGGCAGCGCTACACGCGTAATGGTGCGATAGCAAAAATAGAAAGCGCGTGCAGCATTACCGTTACACATTTTTGCTATTGCCGTCATCACATCACCAGTGAAACTTTTTTGCTTTCAGTTCATATGGTTTGGCTGACAGCATTGCTGTTAACATATATAGAGTCGCGTAATGAGGTATGCACACAAACACCACCTCAACAAGATTCATGCATGAACAGAAACACGACGTCACCGAACTAATTTGATATGGACGCGGTTGCGCCCTTTTGTATAGCCCACGCGTGTTGCTCGGTTGATGACTCGACTGAATTTGGCGTTGCACACGCAAATTACCGTTTAGGCGCCGCTTGGCGCAGCAGGTCAGATTAGCGCAAAATGGCGCAGCACTTCCACCCCTGCAAATTGCACTCTTGAGAACTCGAATGGTATACTTTTCACTATCACAAGTTGATTATTAGCGGAGGAAATCGAGGTTGAAGTTTTATTTGTAAATTTTGCGCCGAAATTTCCACGCTTAACGTGAAAATTTCCAAAACGTACTTTTGGTATTTTCGTTACACTGCCGCAATGAAATTTTCTGAAACTTCGTGTGCCACGTCTATGGCCCCAGAGACAACAAAGCTACATCGGACCCAGTAGACCCCTTCAATATCCACGGCACCATGTTTTGAGCAGGAACCTTCTCGTGCGTTTTCTCTTACCAAGCGTCGTGTCGCGGTAAGAGTGGTCTTTTAGAGATTGTGAAAGTGTACCTTACTAATACGCGAAAAAATCGTTTTGCTCTTTAGTGCAACTTTAAGAATTACAATGGGCATTTGATGTTTCACTGAGGCAGTGTACCACAGTATGAGCACGTGGGGCATTCTCCGCAGCAAACGTGATACGATAGCGCAAGGAGTATCAGAAGCGGGTAAGCATGCGTTCCATTTCTTTCGAAAACGGCAAGTTCAAGATGCTCAGCGTGTCTTTGGCGAGGCACTTGCATCTCATTTCCAGCGCTCTTAGAATGCCGCATTAGAGCAGTGTTCATATGTGAAGCGAATCAAAAACCACAAATCCTCGCTTTCACATTAGGGCCTTCTCCGGGTAGGTAGTATGCGCATGCGCACCCACCCCGAGGAGGCATGCGCCATTTTTGGTGGCCAAAACGTGACGACACGTGCGGACCAAGCTACACCTCATGCCTTAAACATGCGAATCTTTGCCCCAAAGAGAGGCGCGAACGCAGGCCTCCGAGATTGCCTACCGGCATGTGGTGGACAATTTTGGAGGCTAAGGGCCACCAGTTTTGATTTTGGCAATCTCCACTTGAGCAGCTGTTCGGACTAGGAAAAGGCCCATTCACATTTTTTTTTCTTTCTGCAAACAGCTGCAGTACCCCGCCCCTTCGCGAAAACATGACGATAAAACAGTAAGTCAAGCAGTGAAATGACCGTCACAGCCCTTTATTCGGCTCAATCTACAAGAAAAAAAATGTGAACACTAGCACCTTTCTACAAAAAGCAATGTTATGTTCTCCTAGGGCCACATTTACAGGAAATCATAAACAGTGCAAGTAAAATAGGCACCAAATTTTTCACACAAGTGAACACGAAGACTGCCGGACACCAGCGAACATCGATAAGGTGCAGTCACCGTCGCCCAAACTAGCGACAAGTGTTTCGACATAATCCAAAACGCTAGAAAACAGTGAAATAATAACAATAACAAAGAACTACCCGCGGGAGAATCGCAAACAACATTCGTGGAGAGAAGCGGGTGAGCTTGAGCTTGTTGGTGCTCATTGACAGTGAAAAGACAGCGCGAAAACGACATAGAAGAGTGAGAAGAAACGGGACGGAGCTCTGGTCACCCCAGCTCCCCGATCACCAACAATTGCGTTTATTTTTGCTGTGCATATATATACGCGGGAAACGGAAGAACTATCCATCCCATTTGGCAAAAAGATTAGCCATCTTGGCAGTTGATCATTCTACGCTTTGACAACGCTGCATGTCCCAGAAAAGTTCTCTCATCCGGTTTTTCCATTTCCCGCCTTCCCTCCGGTTGCTCCATTTCCTAAACTGTATGTATATTTGCACAGCAAGAATAAACGCAATGGATGAAAGTCAACGCTCTATCCTGTTTCTTCTGTCTATTCCTTATTGCTCTCACGCTGTTTTTTCCAATGCATTCGCGACGACTGAGCACTGAATTATAAATGTGTCTATGAAAATGCTTTCCATGCACATGTTCACAAGAACAAAAAATGAGGAGGGGGGGGGGGGGTCAAGCATGCAGTAGGTTATGTGCATTACACTTCCTTTCAAATCATAGGTCATAAATTAAGAACAATATCTGATCATGATTTACGAACGTTTTCTTTCATCCATTCTTCATGCAGGCTTGAAAAAATAAACTCTATTATGGTAGTACTCGCGACAAAACATGCCATATGCAACAGGACACAGGCAGAATAATCAACACAAGAAAACAGCCCAATATTGCAGAAGCAGCTCCACCTAAAAAGTTTTTCTGTGCTGGTACACATGCGTAGGCATATTCGAAAATAGAAGTACTTAGCTGAAATGTCTTTGGCTAAACACATTTACAACACAATTACAATTCAAATACAATTACAATTCGCCATGTGTCAACCTAAAATCTGCGGTACAAAAACACACAAAGTAAAATAATTTGAGAAACAAGCAAATTTGCTCGACATTATAGAAATGACGAACGAAATTGGCTACCGGATCTACACCAATTAAACTTGACAGGAGTACCAATACCATGCGCAGGGTTCCCCTTGGAGGGGTGGGGGGTTCGTCCCCCTCTTTATATAAACTAAATGTACCGAGGGCCGCGTTTGGGCCCCACCTCCCAGTGCCCACGCCTATGTCCATAATATGGCACTGCAACAAGCAGCGCCATATCTGATCAAAAAGTGGAAATGGGGTATGTATGTCACGAATTTTCCCTTCCCACGAATGCACTGCCGCTCGTTTAAGTGCCTGTGCAGAGCGCGCACGGTGCGTTTTAGTCCCCTCAAAATATACTTCCTGCAGTGCGGCTTCAAAAAGATCTCAGAGTTGGGCAAGCATTTCTGAAAAGCAAATCTAACAAAAAGAGTATAAAGGATGACGAAGAGGAGACGATAGAAGACGAGGACGTCCGAGCCAATGCGAAATGCATTTTTCAGGTCCGTAACAATACTGTGTACGACGTGTGCCTCGAGGCGAGTCTCATTCTGTCGACATGAAGGCGTGCTGCTCTCTCTCAATGTGCTGTGTCGACGATCATGAAAATCATAATTGTTTTTATAAGATATCGAGCAGTATCAGCCATGTAATGTCATGTGCAAACGTTTGCGGCCTGCTAAAAATGAAAAAAAAAAAAAAGAACTGATACGATCATGGCATTAAAATGTCCGAGAGAAGTTTTAGAGTCACGTCCTCTGGGCCACGGGAACATGACCCACTGACATTGCCGCAAGGCATCAAGCTGAGCTTTAACTACTGCGATCAAGTTAAAATTCCCATCTCGTTTTTTCCAACTCTCCTGTCATGCTTGGTCTATCTTTCGCAAATGCGGTTCAGCTCTCGATTCCCCGGCATGACTTTCCGGCAACTGATACAGTTGCACACGTGGAGAGCATCCTTTGGTGTTGTCAACATTGTTGTGGCAGCCCACAACACAACAATACTTCAGACCTCACGATGCTTCCATGGGGTCGTTTCTTTCATCACGGAAAGGCAGCTTCGCACAGTGAATGTCTCGTTTTGGCGTGCCAAGCAGACGGCACCGCAACAAAGTCCTTAGACCAACTGCAGAACACGTTCTGCGCGCGTCGCTCGTGCTCCCGCTTTGGCGAAACACACTGTGTCTGTCGCCTGCACCCTCTGCCGTGCCTATCCTCAAATTCCCACGAGCTAGCCACCAGCGATAGGCGCAGGGTTGTCGTCGCTACGCAAACTTGAGCTTTCGTTCCCTTCCAGCCTTTTTGTTGTACAAAACTCCTACACATGATGAGAACGCACGAATGCAATTAAATGGCCGATCTCACCCTATAAGAGAGAGAGAAAAATACTGAACTAACTTTTTGCTGCTCATAGCTCAAGCCAAACTAAGAGATTAGGTGCTTAAATTGGTGGACACAGTCTTCATTTCACACAAAAACTAGTAGATCCCAACGAATTCAACGTTGTTGTTTTTTTTACATTGCGCCGTGAACTAGACGTGGCGCCACCAGTAATGGCCGTGTCAGCAGTAGCCCACGACTTATCCCACTCAGCTCCCACTACTGTTCTTAAAAACTGTTACGAACAGCAGTGACTGAAAAATTCGCCCGTGTGTGTGTGTGGGGGGGGGGGGGGGGTGAGAACAGAGGGGCACATTATAGTGCGTTTGTGGAATGCAAAAGGGAGGTGGAGAAAGGCAAGTAGCCGAACAGGAACACGTGCACCCCACATCCGCATTCATTTATGGTAGTGCAATAGAACAAAGATGCAGATAACCAACTAGTCCGCATTACCGCCTCGACTATCCTGCATCCCCTGCGGCTGCTTTGAAGTCTTTGCCAGCGCTGGCGTGCAGGTGCCGCACTTTATTCCTTTAAAATGCACTCAACCATTCCAAAATATGTAAGAAATTGTTTATCGGAACAGTCATGTCTTTTGAAAATTTGGACGTTTTCATTAAAAAGAATTTGCTCCGTAGCCCTGACAATTACCATGCTAAAGTAGTCGATTGTTGTAGCGAGTATAGAAGATTTTATATACACTGCATGGGCAAGGCCACCTCGTGCTGTCGAATGAATTTTTTGTATTTTTACACGACGCGATGTGAAAGTGACACGGTCATGAAACGTCGCAACTGAAAAGTTTCCGTGCACAGGCGTCTACCGCAACACTGTGTGTTTAGTTGTTACATATACATAACAGCTCCATATGGCAGCACTGAAACCCATACATTATTACCTGCAGTGCAAGATTGATTGATGTTATGGGAATAACGAAAAAGGTATGCCTATACAATTTCAACTTGACTAATACCCATGCCATGCTAGTCGATGTTGTTCCAGACTATAGAAAAATACTACTTGTAGTGCCAAAAGGCTTCGGACACTACGAAAATTACAGGAATGCAGCTGGCTGAAGCATCTACACCCATTTTCGAGGTTCACACATGTTCAAATGGTGTATATTCTTGCACACTACACACAGCCTTGTACAAAATTACGTGACGACATGGGACTGACGAAAATGCAATTGGATGGTTTATATGTACAAATTAAAGTTGGCTAGCAGTACTAATAGCACAATTGCCGACTGTAGGCGGAGCCAAACTTATTTTTAGCTTGTCGCCGTCTGTAGTCTCAACAACAATCTTTCTCAACAACATGCAGCAGCTTGTACCTATATTCAAGATTATCTCAGAGCCAACAAAGTCTAACATGCTGGGTGGTTTAAGTGTCTGCAATCTAGCATTTGTGGCAGCAGCACCTGCTGAACTAAAAGGTTGCACTTCAAAGCTGAAATGTGACAAAAAAGTACCATGCACATCGTGTGTTAGCAGAAATCGGTGCAAGCTAGCCGTAGATTAGACAACATGAAGTGGTGACACAGTGGTTGCATTCTGCTGGAAATAAGATGTCCTCCAAAAAAGTAACAAAAAACAGGTGGAGGAAGCCCAGGAAAAGTTATCAATGTGGACTGCACATGCTTCTTGTGTTCATGAGAAACTCTAACAACAAATTAGACACGACCAGTGCCGGGGACTGTACAGTATATATTAAAAAAAACAAAAAAACTGCTGGAATTGAAGTAAAAATTCGCACACCTTCTGCACACCTTCTTAGAAGCGGAGGTGAAGCCAGTGGTTGTCCCTAGTTTACCTTTGACTTAGAGGTTTGCCTGATTGCCTGATAGTGAACACTTGCTAATAAAGTGCTTTGGTTCTGTCAATTACTAGACTAACCATAAGATGAGATCACTGTTGTCCACATAGGTAATGTTTTCTCGAGCTTGTTCTTCAAGACATGACCATCAACGTAATTTGCCAAGAACATTTGATGCTTTCACAGAAAAACCACAGCACACATCAAGCAACTTCTGTCAAGTAAAACTGGGAATGTTAAGCACTTGCGACATGCAAATCAATTTTTTTTTTCTTACACACGGGTAAACCTTTTCACCCCCAACAAAGATAGCACACACCTAGCTTTATTTCCCTGTCCACTACCACCAATTTTCGTTTGAGCCCCTACCAAGAGGGCAGAGGTCTGGCTTTATTTAATAGAGACAGCAGCAGTCAGCACCGTCTGTTTTACAAACAGCCAACAGTGCTGGCTTTAACTGCCCGAAAAATGTATGGTTGCTACAAATCTTACCCTTGAAACCCCATTATGGACCAACATTTCTACTCCAGTTTCCCTCTCATCCCAGATGCTTGCACACAATGTTGTGTCTTAGGTCTGCAACTTTCAACACTGTGGCAGCATTCCTGCAGCTCTGTGGCTTCAAGCTTGAAACAGGGCAGCAAATAAAGCTAGGATGGCAGTTTCTCCAAGATACCTGCACGTGAGTTTTGTTTTTAGATGCTCACTTGTGCATGAGTGCACATGTCAAAGGTGCAAAATGCCAAAGTGGCAACGCAGTTCCACTACCCCCATATGTGCAGTGGCACTCGGTTTGCACTCAATCACTTGACTCTAAATTCATGAAAATATATGTGGCCCCCATGGGAAAAAAATATGGTAGTTAATGCATGCAAATTTCAATAGTTCACACAATCTTCAACCTGAACTGAAGTGCACAGAATTTTCACACTTGAAAATAAGTCGGACATTAACTGTTGTCACAAAAAATGTCACAAAAATGTCACAAAAACTGGTGTCACAAGAAATGACTGTTGCCACAAAAAATAGCGCGCCGAGTCTCGGACAGTGTCAATAGAAAATTTAAAAAGTGAATTGACAGTGAAAAAGATGATGCATGCATCAAATGACCTTTTGTCCTAAAGGACATACAGAAATGGTGAAAGAAATGAAGAAATAAAAACATACAGAGATAGGAAATGTTGACTACCATAGACCTCTTAGGAAGCATGCCAGCTGCTCTTGTTCAAACATTCACGTGCCCACACTTAAATATACTGAGGTGAGGCACTTTCAAACACGCCATGCAATGACAACTGTTAGCACACAAAAAAGGGCTGGCCATGGCTTGGATACCTTTATCTAAGGCCAGAAAAATAAAAAAAGAAAGTAAAAAGAAATGAAAAAGGGAAAGAGGCTGCGGAAATGAGAATCACCACGCCATCAAGGAGACTGGCAGAAAAGAAAAAAAAAAGTGACAACTTTCAGCGTTTACGAGCTCTCACTGCCTTTGGAGCCACCCCCCTCCCACGACCCCTCGCCGTACCGCCCCTGCCTGCTACTGCTGCTGGCGCTGGGACAGTCACAGCTGGCGCTGGGAGAGCCACAGCTGGCGGCTTCTTGGTGCCTGCAGCAGCAGAGGCAGAAGTTGTCACAGCTGGCGCTGGGAGAGCCACAGCTGGCGGCTTCTTGGTGCCTGCAGCAGCAGAGGCAGAAGTTGAGGCAGCAGAGTTGATGGCAGGTACCCTTGCGGCAGCAACAGGTGGCTTGGCTACTGTGCCAGTGGATTTGGATACTGCAGCAGTGGGCTTCGATACAGGGGCAGTAGGCCTAGGTATTGCTACAGCGGGCTTTGCGGCTACGGTGGCAGCGGGCTTTGCTACTGCGGCAGCAGCCTTAGGAGCTGCTAAATTTCTCCCTGGTGCTTTGGCTGGCGTAGCCTTTGACAAAGCAGCCTTGAAGGTAGCTGGAGCGGCGCTAATGCTCGGAGAAGCCGCCACAGGCTTCTCCCCTACCTCTTCCTTCGAGTCTTTGCAGCCATTGGTGCTGGGAACGTTGGTTTGTTCTTGCTCATCCAAGACTGACATATCTGCCGAAGCTGCCTCATGCTCTGGTGCGTCTTGCTCCTCTGCCTGGTGCTCCTCCTGAAGGTCATCCTGCTCCTTTATCTCTTCCTTCACTGGCTCGGACTGGCCATCAGCTTCAGACTCCAGCATGACAGGCTCAACCCTGGATGGCTCATCGGGAGTCTCTCGCATGGTGTGATCAGTTTCTTCAGCCACATTTTCTTTCTTTGGTTTGATAGTTACTCCAGAAGGACCTGACAAAAGGCAGCAAGAAAAAATACTTAATCAATTGCACTTTACACAGTAATGCATAAAGGATTGTAAACGCACTCGAGTCACAGATGAACAAAGGCATCTTCCCAGCAGTGCAATTGTGACCAGTTTGCCATGAAACAACTAATTACAATTTAGAACAGTTTTTAGCCACACAAGCATGCTTCAGAATGAGGGCCATTTCCAGCCTCAGAGACAGCACCCTCCAATCTTAAAGGCTCTAGCTTATGCTGAATGACACATCTTGGCTGCCATGTTATTTTTCTGAGGTATTTGATATTATAATAGAATTTCATCAACAGCAACGTCCAGTGAGATATGCAGACAGACATGCATGTTTAAGCATTTCCTCCCTACTGAGCGATTTCACAAGGAGGCTGCCATTTTTTCTGCCACAGTGCCATCTAGAATCTGCTATGTTTCACCACTATGTCGGTGTGTGGGGATCTGCAGCGGTGTATGCAGCGTATGGGCTCAGTACACAAGGAATTGCTGTTCTTCGGTGTGGACAGTCAAAACACAGCAATGCTTCTGAGTGTATAGGTGCTAGTAAGTAATCGCTAAGCTGTCAGCTTCAAAATGACTGAAACAAAAAGCAGCAGCGACCCACGCGACATTACCAGAGCGTAGGCAGCGATAGACAAGTGGTGAGTAGAATTTCAATGCATTACTTAAAGCAAGTGTAAATGAGTAATTGGTTAGTATGTTATGTTATAGCTGGCCTTGTACGGTTCTGGAAATATGCACTAACATTAAATTTGTGGACAACACTCGAAGTAATGGGTCAAACATGAATTGAGACGAGTAAATATGTACGCCATTGTTCAGCTACACTTTAAGAGGGGACGCGGGTTTTAAAACGGTCAAAAATGGTCCAAAAAATTGATTTTTTTACAAAGCTTATTTTCGAGGCATTTGTACTTTTGAACACCTACTCTCAAATTTTCAACGCTGAATTCGGTGAGGAGACGCGATAAAATCAGCCTTCAATGCACCCCGGTCGCTCTAAAATAGCCCCAAAAGGACAAAATTTATTCGAACTTCCCGCGCGCGAGCCATGCGCCTTGCTGCAGACCGAGCGCAGTCATCTTGGGCTTGATTTGAAGCTGTTTTCTTTGTGCACAGTTTGCGCAATCTCAAAATGACGTCACTCAAGTGGAATGGCTGCCGTCGCGGGTTTTCTGAAGGCTGTTTCCAGATCGCCAATTGGCCCTCTCGCGGCGCGCTTTTCAAGCATGCCTTTCCGAGTCTCCCATTGACTGAAGTGACCGACGCGTCAGCTTTTTTTTGTGTGTGTGTGTTGCATTCACCGCCGTGGCTGCCCATTTGTGTGCGTCTGCTTTGTGATCGTGCATCTTCCTCGACGCACTGTGTTTCTGATTTGCACTGGTACTTTTTCACCGCCATCAAGATGCCTCGAGACTTTCGTATGAAACTATTGACGTGACGAGCTTTTGAAAGCCATAAAAAACAGCCTTAGAACAAGAAGCTGTCGGCCGCAAGTGCCCTTTGGCAGCTAGTGGCAGTCGCAGCCGGACCGGTTGGATCCGCTAAAAACTTCAACCGCACTGTCTACCAACAATGCCCTGGGACTAAGTTCGACGAGCGATACACTTCAAATTGACACTACGTACTTTTCAACAGAGGAGCAGGCGCAGCAAGTTGAGAAATCGGTGCACACGAAGACTTTTTTGTCAGGAAAGTTGGCTACCCAGCTAAAGTTCGACCTCCTTGGAGTCAGTGCCTATAGCCTTTGCCATCAAATTTTCGACAGCCAACGAGCTCGGAGTCGACGCGAGCACTGATGACACTGTCATCGGTGAACAGCGACAGCATGACGTGTAGCTGAAATTGAGACAAACATCATCGCGGGCAAGCAGAATGCCATGCAAAAGAAAATAGGAGACTATTTTTGGGCTAACGTGTTGACCACTGAGGTAGTACCGGTCACATCGATTTTTTTATACATAAACGGCTCTTTTCAGAGCCACCTAAGCTATGTATTTACAAGATTGCAACGAGAATTTCGCACTACAGCAGTGACCCTCTGCGTCAGCAAAAAATACCAATAAAAACGGGGCATTTTTGCATGCACTCGTTTTTCCGGACAGATGCTTGATTTTTCTGACATTTTCATGGTCCCTTGAGGGTCCGAAACACAGCAACTTATTACCCCGGGCAGCATGCTGCCTTACAGCTAGTTTTTTTTAGCCCCATACCCTACGGTTTTTCCAGAACCCCTCAACAGGTTCTTATGGTGAGGTTCTGATAATGCTTCCCACATTGGAAATATTTTTAGACATGATCCTGAAGTTGAAATAAGGCACATTTTCTTTTATTTCGCAGGGGAATAAATGGGGAACACGAGTATAACATTTGTGGTAAAAGATCCTTATAGAATATTTTGCAGCGTATATCGAAATTTCAAATGCGATTTTCTCGGCTTCACATTTTTTGCCATCTTGACCAAACTTACGGAACTTTTCATCATGTTCTTGTGAAGCAATTTTTTCAAATTTTATATCGTTGAACTAGTAAGAAGCAGGACTGTGGAGCTATGCTTTTTTTGTGTGTGTGGCTAAGAGGGACATATGAAATGTTATGAACGATAACGTGAGCTAATAAAATTTCAAAATTGTGGAGGATCAATGAAAATGGGAATTTTTATATGATGATGTATCTCAGCAACAATATAAATATCATAGCTCCACATGGCAGGTCTTTGACTACAGCTGCATCTTAAACAGAACCCAAAATTATTGAGGTAAAGTGCCATAACACTTTCCTGTCTGCGCCTATACTCATCAACAGTATGCTGCCGATGGTTTGAATAAACATTTTCTCGTGTTCGAAGCACTCTGGGATGATTAGCGCCATTTGGTGCATAAAAGGCGAACTGTTTCTCTAGTTTCGCTTTTGTGTTTTTTTTTCCGCCACGGGAGAGACTTTTTAAAACGCCTTTTAGACGTCGCGCTCATTTTCGAAGGCATCAACTTCACAAGTAACTGCCCCTCGGGAACGGAAAATTTCAAGGAAGTCTAATCAGTCTCCATCAGAATTTTGCGACGGTGGTAGCAGCGAAGACTCGGGAGATGACTTTGATTCATGAGACTTTAGCACAGACGGTGAAAGAGCGTCAAGTAGCCCTGAAACGTCGACATGTATCCACCAGTAATTCGGCTTTCTACTGCGAACCGTTTCATCGCGGTGGCGATCAGATGTAAAGACATCTGGCGTGTTCTAAAGGTCGCAGTTCTTATCTGCAGGGCGTAAACGTCGTTTGAACAGGATCACTTGTCAGCGGCGGCACAGATAGTGGAGTTTTGCGTGAGGAGACGGCCGGGTGTTGACCTCCGCATTGCGCTCTGCAGTGCCCCGTGGCGCTTCGGAAGAGCCACAATGGCTAATGCTTTTTTTTTTTGCGTAAAATTAACTTGTCCAGATAGAAAACTCGAATTTGCAGCAATGTTGTACATAGCTTCCTTCTTTGGAATGTATATTTGAAAATTTCTTTAGGTTGTGTCGGTGCAAAGCAGCACACAGGGTTTTACGGAGTTTTCACATTTTTTTAAAGATTTCCATCAAATATTTTTCTACAAAAAATATTCGGAAATGTTTGAAAATAATACCATTAGAAAGCACAATCCTTCTGCTACCAATTGATCTATACGTGATGATATAAAGCATATGGTGTAGCAGTAAAAAAAACTTTGTACTAGACCACCCAAAGACTGCTTATTTTCCTGCGACAGGAAAGCATTAATGACTCGTAAGAAATGACACAATTAGACTTCACTTATGCTCTCACAATTTGATAACTAGTTGGTGTACATTAAAACTAATTATATTTTTTTAAAAGAGGAGGAAGAAATACATACACGCATCTAATTTCATTACAGTATCTCCAATAATAAAAATTCATTTCAAGACCAACGTCTCTTCTAAAGTGCGCACATTAGTATTCAATATGACTCGAGGGTCTTTTTGCTGCGATTCTTTCAAGTTTAAAGGGCCCATAAACCACACAGAGGTTAAAATTAAGTTTCTGGTGACGAAACTGTGGATGAGTGTATGACGAACAGAGAGCCGTGAGAATTTTTCGAAAAGTGCAGTATAACGGAGTTAGACACGTTTGATCATCGAAACCGTGATGACCACACTTTTCACTCCCTCCTGCGCCTCCCTCCGCTCGTATCTTCTCCCACGCCGCTTTGCCTTCTCGCCGAGTGCCCCTCCCATTCCCCTCCCAATCTCCCGTGGCGTACATCAGCGCAGACGCACTGCCTGAAATAAGTCTACTTCCGGTTGCCGCAACTCCGGCCGTTGACTCCATTAGTTTTTGTGCTTGTTAGCGAACCGTGGCTGCTGTAATCATGCCAATATGGAACCTGCATTGTGCGCACGCTTTCAAAAGATTGCCAACGTGATGCACCCGTATGGGGATGTGCCGTGCCCCGCACGTGTTACACACACAAGGGCAACACGTCGAACAACAATGAGCAGCACGAGCAGCTGCTTGCAGACTGACCAGAAGTCGTAGGCTCTTGCTCGACCAGTCACAGCATGTTTGGCATATTTGGCTTGGCGCGTAAGAGATGTGGCACGGGGCGTCATGCGGAGGCCCGGAAAGAAGGAGGAACTGTTTCTTGGAATTTGTGGCGCTGGCATGTGCAGAATCATTGATCGCGATGGCATTCTGCACATGATGCGCGCGTTTACTTGAAACGCTCGAAAAAATATCGGAGCTGGTTACAGGCCCTTTATCGCAAGCAGATTTGGTTTGTCTCGAAACATTCAGAGCAGATTTAGCCCTGTTCAAAGCACCTGTGAAGCTGCATTTATTCGATGTTGCAGTTTTTAAACACTCATCTAAATTGTGCAATAGCCTCATTATTGCAATAAAAATTATATGGAGACTCCCGACGGGTTTTTGCTGTTGTCATCACGTGTATAAATTCCGAATTGATAACACACATTCGCG